AAAGAAAAATTGTTTCGAGTATATGTACTTACCCTATGCATCGTTAAAAACCTAAAGATTATACATGTACATAATAATTTTAACATTGTAATGAGACTTAATTAAAGCTAAATAAGTCAGTCAACTATAACCTAAGTTAAAATAAACATAATTGGAAACTTCACACAAAGTAAGTACTTAAATTGACAAATAGGTTTTGAAAATTATTAAAATGACTTTATAATTATTTGGTCCACAATTGTGACATTACATGGCGATAGTTCTAGTTTAAAGGAAATTATCCATTTTCTAAAGATTGTTATTATTTATGTGTTGAGTTTATCATTTACTAGTATGATTTGTGTATAATTGTATGAATTATAACCAAATATGATCATTTATATTCATTAAAATTATTCATAAAAAATAGTAATTAACGCCATCTATTGGTATTTAATAGAACGTCTTACGCGATTACAATGTTATGTAATACAGGTATTGTAGTATTGTAATGAAATTTAAACGAAACACATGCAATTGTACATTATATTTATTATGAGCTAAAAACTTATTCATTAGTATCATAATACGATTGTACTTTGTCATATTTATATTCAAAAAAAAATGTTTTAACATACAAAATGAATTAAAAATATTTTATGTTTTCCATACACAATTTTATTCATATAACAATTGCTGATAAAATCCTAATACTTTCGTATGTCTCCGAAACATATTAATATTTATTTTTCATGAATAACATTTTTAGTAATAAAATTAATATAATGAATATTATTTATAATAAAGCACCTGGCTTTAGGTATGTCTGTATTTATTTTATAATTAAGATTATTTAATCATGTGATGTTTCTTGTACAACTGGTGTACAACACAACATAGTCTTTACGTTAGCAGCATAGAGTCTAAAAAAGAATGAACAGATGTTTAAAAATATTTCAAGGATGATTTATCAGACTGGTCTTTTATAAAAATACAATCATAAAATATATTTTTGTCAAGATTTGCAAACAAATAAACCAAAAATCCGAATGAATCTTTAAACATTTTTTCTTTATTGAGTCTCGCTAAAAAGTATGGTATAAAATACCTATTACAATCGCTGCTTAGCCGATGAAAATGTTTATTACCAGAGAGACATAAATTTCCTTAGATAGGGTTGGGCACAAGATAAATAATTCTAATGTTCATCACTTGGTGTACATCTGTAATATTCTAAGGCACGATTCAGACATTGCAGCCACTTGTCTCTATGTTGTGGAGTGTCTGCTGCCAGAAGATGTCTACGTACCAGAGTGCCGTCGGTACGTCTGAAGCAGACTAGCGATGAGTCGGGTGCTTCTAGTCCACAGGGAGCTTCGCATTCTAACAATAAAGTGTTGGGTCGAGCGCAAACATCGCGGGGAGCTTTCACCACTTTCTCGGAGATGACAGCCCTGAGGTCAATATCACCAATCGGGGGCTGTTGGGAGACGTTATCCATTAAATTCTCGATCAAATATTATATGCTAAACATGCCTCTATTTATTGGGGTGTTGTAATTTAGGTACAATGGACACTACGTTCGATGACTTTAGTTAGGAAATTCAATTTGGTTAGATATTTAAGTGTTGCCTATTTTTGTACACTATAATGATATAGACTAGATAATCATTCAGATTGGAGGTAGATGTCAAGAGGTACTCTATTGATAAACATTTAAATACTTTCGAAACGTTGGTTTTTAGCTGCAACCCAAAATTGTAAATTATCAAACAACTATGTTAAGATGTTATGATAATATAATAGCTACGATGACTAATTTCTTTGTTTGTAGATCGTTGTAAAATATTAAACAAGATTTTTTTTTTCATTTCTTGCGTAATCATTAAATTACGGCAATACATCGAGTTAAAATGTCACACTACGTCACGCTTTTGTACAAAACTGTGACATAGCGAACCCCCACTCCTCAACTTTAATGCTTGACTCATTTCTCGTTAAATTAAAATATAACAATGATACGTATCTAATATTTTTCTATTACCTGACTGACGGATTAATTGAATTCCTTTCTTTTACCCAGTTATCTTCCCTATTATATGACATCACATAACTCAGTGAGATCTTGAGTTGTTAGCATTTCACAAATGACCCTGTATAAGAGTATAATACGAATAGTGTGTGTAGTACTCGCCTTCTTGTGCGCGTCGTCCGGATACTTCCAGTACGAGAGCAGGGGCGGCTGCAGTTTGAACCACCGCCGATGCCAGGCGCCAAGTCCGCTCACGTCGTCGAACGCGGTCAGGAACGCCTCGTGGCTCTCCGGAGGGGGGGCGACCACGCGCGCGCGTATATCCACACTCACGCTGCCCTCCAGCGGACTGCCAGCCGGCAGCTGACCAACAAACAACGTGTTTTTAACATAAACTTCATATGCAAAATAATTTTTAACGGACTTCAAAAAAGGAAACTTTCTGTATATTTTTTTTCATCGCCGTGATACATATTCGAAATCGATAAATTATGCTAATTAATGGATGTTTACAACTGCAGATGCTGAAGGGACTAAAAGCGAGAAAATTGCTCGCATCACAGATTAAATACTCTAACTCAAAGTTTATATCGCAAATATTTATCCAAAAACAAGGTAATTTAATTATTTACACTTAATGTAGTGTAAAAAGTCATAATAAACTAGTTTCATGCCCTCCCACTAAAAAAGAAATTATATTTGATAATTCTAAGACAGCGATGTTCATATTATTAAACGTATTAAAGAAACTGTTTATTTAAAAAAAAATCTTTATGGTGACGTATTTAATTAACCTTATTTAAAAAAAAAATAGAAAAGCTATGTTCTTCCATTTGTTTTGAATCTAAATGCGAAAGTACTTCATCACCCAGATTACAAAAATAGCGAACTAAGAATTGTAGCAATCTAACCCTTGTAGTAAATTAAGATTGACCCACTGTTCTGCCAACAATTGATTTAAGGGTTAACGTTGGACTTACAAAAAAAATGTTACTAGGGTATGTGGTGACATGTGTACATACCTTGTTGAGTGTGAACGTGCGCCTGGTCGCTTGCGGTAATGCGAATATGCAGTAACCGTGCAGTTGAAACTGAGGCGTTCTAGCCGCCATAGGACCGCCTGGGCTCTGCGTACGCGGAGCTTTCAGTTCCGATACTTTAGACTTGGGCGTCAGCAGCTTCGAACTCGACTGAACAAAACAAATTGAATACAGTTATAACTTATATGGTAAATCTTCGTTTGACAGCTCAACCAAGCGATGATCGAAAGTATGACTGAAATGTATAATGAATTTTATCACAATAACCATAAGGAGTAAAATACAACGCATTATACGTCAACGCACTCGGCGGGGGTTAGGCGCGTGCATAAGCTACTCGTTAGAGTTATCATGACATTTGGCTCGGAACTTGATAGTACTCCTGCGCTTACATTATTTCAAATTAATTTAAATTGTTTCACCAATGACACCAAATATTAACAAGTAGATACCTTAATTACGTGAGTTTGATATCCATATTGTCGATTTGAGTTTGATAAAAGAACAAGTTACTGTGCAAGTTAAAAAATCGATATATTCGAAATATTGGAAAAAGTTTAAAAAAAATATTTTACGTTTATCACACAAACTTTATTCTAGCCAGGTTAAAAGTAATTATTAAAAAGGTTTCTTTTTTTTAATATTTAGTATGATTTTTTTCAAGAAATAAAACCGACTCAAATATAAATGAGTATTATATCTCTTTTTTTAATTTTAAAGTTGATTCTATATTTGAAAAAAAAAATCATGATTGTCAGCGCTGGTGATATTTTTTTTATAAGCATCACTAAGAATATTAAATATCTAATAAAATTACAACATTATGAGTCTTATTAGGGAAGGAGATTTTGTTTATTTGCTCAACATAATAAAATTTTCTAATACATATATGATATAAGATTGGTTCAAATTCACGAACAAATCGGTGAACGTGATCGCAAAATACGATGACTTTCGTTTTTTCGCTGATCCTCTAAGTTATTTGATGGTATTAGGTAATACTAAGTATTTTTCATTAAAATATTTTCCTGTATAGCATTGTGAATGCAAAATTGATGAAATATAATAATTAGAACAAATTTTCATCTAAATCGAAAGTTTAAATATTTGTAAAAATGTTCCTTTCGGCTGTTTGGGTGGATTGCCTGAACATTGATGAAAATACGGTCGTTGGTAGCGAAAACGTCAGTCCTGTCCTGGGTTGTTCAGTGGTTAGAGCAATCACCCGGATTGCGAAAGGTCAGGGGTTCGAGTCCCATCTCAGAGTACCTCGGGCAAAGTGGATTTTTAAGCATTTTTCATTATTGATATTAATAAGTATTTTTTTTCAAAAGGCTCTTACATTATTTATGACAAAACAAAATGTTCACTTTTAAACTATCGTGCTGCATTATTAAATTTTTATAATACCCGGTATTTATAAGTATAAAATAAAATGTAGCAATTTAAACAATTACATATTTTAATTGTAACAACAAATGAACCCTTACATTAACATTAAATGTCATTATAGTTTTAGAAATAATATCCAATAAAAAAAAATAATACTGTCAATACAAATATTTATATAAATACCTTTTTGTTGCTGATATGATATTTGACTTCATGAGGCAGGATTTCTTTCGATGCTTGCAACATATACACTTCGACTGTTACCTGTTGAATGAATTATTTATATGTAAATATTTAGCATGTTATTTTTTTATGAGAGTTGTATATGAATTAACGGTTTTTTTCTAATTTTTGTTTTCACTAGCGATAGTGAAAAACATATATACCAATACAATCTTGCAGGTACTCTTTTTATCTTTTTATTATATAGAGGCAATATTTTTTATTCTCTGCTTATAATCTGTGATTTGTTGCGTATACTTTTGCGGATGCGGATCAGTGGGTACTACCGATTTAAACAACTGAGACTGTTTCGAAAGCACGAAGATAAGGAGCTCCGAGACAATGCATCTTTGGTCACCTAACCTATAACCGGCTTTTATAAAAGTTGCTTAACCTGTGCTACCGTAGCCGAAACGTAGTAACTTACATGGAAATCGCTGGCCAGGCCGTCCATCCGTATTTGGTCAGGAAAGTGTAAGTTAGCAGTAGTGGGCTGAGTTAACTGCATACTTGTTGCTAAAACTCGATCACGACATTTCAGCAAACATAGCACGTGATGACCTGTAGCACCGTCTATAAATAAAATTAATATTTTTGCAGTCGTATGTTGATATAATTATAAAAACGCTTTAAAAATTAACGAGAATATTTTATGCATAAAGATGGTGTAAATAATAATTTTTGTGGTTTTACTGTCAACAGTATGTCAGGTTATGCAATTCTGACAAATATCTTTATTCGATTTTAAACGATTTATAGCAACTTTACGTCCAATAACTAATAAGGGGGCGTCCATAAATTACGTGAGATGTTTAAGGGGGGGGAGGGAGTCGAGTCAAATCTCATCTAATCTCACGTTGGAGAGAGGGGGGGTCTCGGCAAATATCACGCAATTTTTAAAATAAGGCTCGGTGCGGGGAATCCCTCATAGAGTGACAAGTCTAAGGTTAAGATCATTCACTAATGAAGAATGTTACTAGGTATGCCAAATCGCTTGAAATTTTGTCTCAATAAAGCCCTTATGTATACAAATACACTAGTTTTTGTTGCAGTCAAAAATACCTAGTAATTTTGATTTTATATGCATTCAAAGTTTCGAAAAATATCGAATCCCGCTAACAGCCATGTGACCGCTTGTGACGTCATGTCACAACGCACCGCGCCCCGCTTAGTATCAAGTCGCCAGCGGTTATAGTAGATATAATAGCTTGCGCAGTATTTTGTTGTGTTTTCGCCCATGTATTAAGTTTATAGTCTAATAATATTAAATATTATTCGATTAATAAAATAGACGAAGGATTCGAAAAAGGGCAATCGGATAATCTACCTAAAATAAATGGATTAAAAATTGCACATTATTTATTAACAAATAATAATTTCGTTGCCGCCGAAATGCGAGGAATAAAAATGCATAGGTAAGTAAACTTTCCTTGCTACTATTGATGCTTAATAGTTTATCTGTTCTAAATTGTTTTATCAAAACAAAATTTGCAACTAATATCGTAATGGAAGAATGAAATTCAAATATTAGAAGTACCTACCTACCATTAAATTTTTACGTTAAAGACAAATTACAGACTTCGTCCAGATCTGTTCAGTAGTTTTTGCGTGAAAGATAACAAACAAACACACACACAAACTTTCGCATTTATAATATAAGTAGGAAGTAGGATAGGTACCTAGGATGTAGATGTAGTGGGTTAAACGTTACAGATGTTCTAAACCTTTTTTTATTTGTATTTTTTTTTTACTAACAAAATACGTAAGGCCATTTTATCAAATTATTTTTTTGTTGCAAATATAGAAGTTTGAACAGATGTACTAAACCTTTTTTATTTATTAGTATTTTTTTAACTAACAAAATACTTAAGGCTATTTATTTTTATTTGAAACTTATTTCAGATCGGCAAGAAACAGCTATGACAATGATGTTATTGGTTATGTTCTAGTTAAAAGAGTAGGTGATTTAAGTATGTACGGTTAAATGTAGAATCACGCCAGAACACCGCGTACGTACCACACCTTATCATTGCAGTTTAGAATGCAATGAAAAGGATCAAGAAGTATTAAACGTAAACTGCGAAGATTGTGCCGCCAGCAGAGGTGGCTGTAAACATACTGTAGCATTTTTAATGTGGCTACATCGTCGAAATTGAAAAAAATCTAAGCTCTCAGATGTTGGTGCCACAATGAAAACGATTAAAACTAAACATTTTGGCACAAGTGGTATAACACTTCATTTAGCCGGTCAGAATGAAATTTTTTTTTGACAAAGTAGTATTAAAACTTAAAGAGCTTCAAATACAGTGTTCTCTTTCACATTTTGTATGTGAAAAAAAAAGAGGTTGAAAAGATGTCTATTTATCATAAAGATGTCTATAAAAAACAACTTTCCCGGCGAATTAGTAGTTGTATTTTTACATTTAGGCACAACACATGATTTCCTAGAATTTGGATTGGACATTTTTAAAAGTATTTAGGTAAAATTTCGTCGGCACGGGCGCGCGACTGCGAGCGGACTAAGTGAGCCAGACTGAGCGTGTTGTGCAATGACGTCACATCGTCACCGGCAGCCCGCGTCGTGCGGTTACAACTTGTTTTACTTCTAAATCGGAAAGTAATTGTCGTATCGAAGTAATTCTTTCACTAGTATTTTTTATTTTTGACAGAAAATATGGAGTGCTAATAAAAAAAAAATGTTAACATTCTTCATTCGTTGGAAAGAAAATAATTTCATTCGTACTTTGACATTATACATCACTCCTGATTGTCAAACCACTATACTCGTTTCATACCAAATAGCTCAATTTAATTTGAATTTACGGTACAATGTAGCCCGTCCTTTGTTTTCGCGCCACTGTCAGCTGAACGTGTGACTCGATGAATGAGAGCAATATGGATTACTAGTCTCTAACTAGTCGTAAATAAAAGTACGAAGCGAATTATTTTTTTTTTCTTTTTATTAAAAAATCCAACGTGTTTAAATAAGAAACCCACTTTTTGAAAAATCTCACGTGAGATTTGGGGATGGGGGAGGGGATTGAATAAAATCTCACGACATCTCACCAGGGGGGGGGAGGGAGGGCCAGAAAATTTGAAAAAACACCTCACGTAATTTATGGACGCCCCCTAATATATATATTTTCCACGACCCACAATCACCTGCCACCAGTATCAATCGATATACTGGAAGAAATCGCTGTTCAGCCGGCTATTGCACATCTTATAGTTAATTTTTTCTTTGGGCGGTTATACATCTCGATATCACTATTATTCGACGTATCTGTCAAGTATAACGTTTTTAAATATTTTACCGGCATTGAGATGTCTCATATAATCTCTTCTCAATGGCACTGTGATACTGTTGATATGTAATGAAGCCATTCCCGCTTTAGCAGCAGGCCCGGCGCCTTCCACTTGAAGCCGCTGTATCTCATGGAGACACGCCTGACGACGGTGGGCTTTGGAAACAAACACGCAAAAAAAGATTTAGAAACTTACTTACCTATATTACGTAAACTGATAACATAGATAATTAGACAATTTAGTCTTTAAAATTAGTGATTTACATTCAGCTAAATTAAATAAAAAGTCGAAATAAATAAACATGGATGTGAAAACAGACCATACACTAAATAACGGCATAAGTATATAATTTTTGATGTTTATATATTTATATATTTATATATGTGGTCATGTGTTAAACATAAAAACCTTCCTTTTGAATCACCCTATGTATGAAAAAAACCGCGAAATTGGTATATATGCTATGCTCGAAAATGTACAAGCAAAAGTGACAGACACTAATAGAATAAACACATTACCCTCGTTTGCGTCACGCAGTCGGGTTATTAAAAAAAGTGACCAACAAGTAAGTCTAGTGATGCCCGAACTTTTACGATCCTAAATCAATGTACTAAAAAAATTGGTTCTGATAAAGACATTCCATTAAAAAACTCACTTGCTAATAACAGCAGTCTTTCGCCTTCTGCTTGTTCTGTGGATCCACTGAACTCAATAGTTGCAGCGCACAGGTTTAGAGCTTGACTTGCCTGAAAATCGATTAGATCTCACATTAGGTCTTCTATACGTCTCTACCGTGTTACTCAAGTACTGATTGATCTGTCACAATGAAGCTCTGCTTGGTCATTTGCGCAAACGTCGATTAAGGTTTAATGACGCCTTTAAGCTCTATTGAATGTCGAATTTTTAATGATGTCGTTTTAAGCTAATGATAATTTTAATGACCGTTTGTACAACCGGCTGATTATCTATCAAGCGGAGACGATAACTGGCAACAGACCAATTGTATTGGACAGATCATTCGAGAGATGGGGACTAGAGAAGTCCCGCCACATAGTTACTGTGTGGCCGGGTGATTTCGTACGAGTCTTCGGGTATTATTTCCAATCAAGTGAATGCCCGGAGTTAAAAATGACTTGCCTAGTGGTCATGCCAATGGGCAGGTCCATAGCGGAGGAGAGTTTCCCCTATGGGTAAAGCATTTTTACTAGGTAAAAAAAAGGTTATTATTAGGTATGAATAATAGTATCTTCTTGGCGGATTATGGCGAATGATGCTTAATATTACTTGGTAACTTGAAAAAAAATGATCCTTATAGCTACTAAATAATTCGTTTTCAAGGTTCCGTTTCCATAAGAAAAAATAAATCTTATAGAATCACTCGCTTATGTGTTTGTCTGTCTGAACCGCTTGTTTTGTTTGGGCTCATTTTTATTAAGATTCATGTGCAATGAATCAGTATATAAAATCATCAGTCAATAAACATACCTGCGATATAACAGTTTGCTGTTTGGTGACCTCTTGTTGTAGTTCACGTATCCGCTGGCGTACAGTGGTTACAGCTGCGGCGGGTTCGTCGGGGGTAGGGGGTTCGCGTTCGGGCGACGCGTGTCGTACTACGCGCACCGGAGTCGACTGCGTGGAGGACTGCACAAATAATTTTTGAGGATTATAGTATGGAGTCCCAAGTGATAATATTTCATTTTCATTATAGAAACAAAGAATATTGTAGATGCTATCACTATCAAATTAACAGTTTAATAATGAAACCACAGAAATTTCAAATATTCTGCATTCAAATTTGAACTTTACTTAAATTTTAATTTTGTATTCACAATATATTTTAAGCATTTTTCATTAAAGATATATAAGATTTAATATATATTGACATTATGCAGCCTGATGTGCTGTTAACTGTACTTCCGTATTCGTTTATCTACTAAGAAATACCTATTTACTCTTAGAATAGCCTTTTTGGATTGACTTTATTGATGATGGTATAATCAATTGTAGAGGCAATTAGGTAACATGTCTCTAAAACAGTTTCTGTCTCACTCAGTCACCCATCCGAAAGATAGCTTCTGCGAAAGTTACTTAACATCTATAATAGCAGGTCGATTACGTCACTCCACAATAGACTCCATCTACTTATTAATAAGGCGATATTACTAACAGCGTTCTGCATACGGCGGTAGAAGCTGACGCTGTGGACTAGCTCGTTGCCGCGGTCGACGCGCGGCGTCCCAACCGCCGACGTTTTCTGCGGCGACTTGAATTTCGCCCGTTCCTGATACACGAAGCTCGTAGACGAGGATATACTGCCATGCTGTAATATATGCGCGTATATTTTTTAATTATAACGCTCGTAAATTATAAATAATCTATGATATAAATTACATAAATTTCGACATGCGAAACTCGAGTGAGTCGCTAAACCAGGACAAGCAGCGTAATAGTTACGCTACTAAGGTTTTTACACTTACACCAATCATTTTGGTAACATAACTCATGGGCATTCTATTATAAAGAAATATAAAAATATAATCAACGTTGAAACTAGTGATTCTGAACAAGTTTATAATGGTGGAATTTCTGTCAATAACATCATGCATTTATCTTTAAGTCAGATCAAACAAAACAGATCGTCAACCTATTGTTTACGTAAGGATTTAAATCTGTCATTTAAATAAGGTTTAAATTGGCGTTTCCGCTAGTATATTACGTTTTAAAGGAACATACTGTGAAAACGCTAATGGTTTTAAGCTCTATAGATATAAAACTTTTGACTTTTTATTCAACACGTTCTACATTCAAAATAGAGGTTGATAATCTGTAACCTTGTTTACTTTAGGCGGTGTGGGTCCTTCTTCGTCGCCAAGTGCCTCGTCTAGCATGTCGTCTAACTCACTATCGCAGTTGCCTTCCGAACTGTCCGACAAGCTTTCACGCACTGCTTTCTGGTAACTAGTGTTATTTTTCTTTACAACCTTGAAATAAAAAAAAAGAAATATGCTCATTAAGAAACGAACCTACTAACAAGACGAAAAAGCAAGAGAAAAAATAAGCCCAGTTAATTTTTTTTTATTGATACGCCTTAAGAGTAACATGTGTTATTGAAATAATTCTTAAGTTTATTAGGTCATATGTTCACTGAACGCTATTAAATAGTAAAATTTTAAGTTTGAAAATATTTCGTATTATTTTTATTACTATTAGAAATAACTTACGTTCATGACTTCCCGGCCGAAAGATGTTTCAGCCCAATTGTCCGATTTATTAAGATTGTCATTGGAACTACATTGTCCTTTTTCCTCCGTGCTGGAAAATATAAAATGATTTCACACGTAAGTAAGCAAAAGATATATATATATATACTCATTTTACAGAAACAATACTCATTTAACAAATAAATGGATGTCGAATAAGTATTTGTCATTCTCCATTTGCAGCTGTGATAATATATTTTATACAATGATATCTCAATTTAAATTTGTAGGGAAAATCTTGTTTCTTTTTTTTCTGACCCAGAAGTATGGCAAGTGTATTGAATTGATTTATTTTCTTAATGTCATTTATAATAGGAACAATCTCTTATTACTAACAATTGCTCAGTTTGAGCGAAATTTAACTTTGTCCGGTTTAAATTTAATGTCCATTTCAAATATTGACTGTAGTAACTATATGCTTATATTCTAGACATGTTTTGTAGTTACTATGACTAAAGCAATGTAGTTAATTAAGTGTTATGACCGTGCCGTATTCTGTATTCTGCTTCTTTACGTTTGTCTAAAAAAATCGGTCTCTCGCCGCAGATTCCTTAAAATTCTTGATTTATACTAAATTAATTACAAGGAGTTTGAAAATTGGTGAGGTGTGTGAACTATAACGTATTTATGCTGTGAGACATCAACATGACTACAACTAATACATCTGACGATGACTGTTAACTTTATAAATAAAGAAGAGTTGAGGCTGGCGATCTGTCTAGGGAAGGTTGCTTGACCAATATCGGCTTCTAGACAAGAATTGAATGTGAAATTTAAGGAGAAAAGACTTAGTCGGTTCATACAATTCTCACAAGATCACTTGATGTCCTAAATCCGTTAGTAATTGTTAAGTTTTAAACGAAAACTTGTTTCAACTGAAGGTCGCGTGTATTTATTCAGCATAGTAAGCGCGACCAATACAAAATTATCATTGATCAGCATAGATGTCAATTTTACATCCAACGTCATTATACCAGCGATTCTACCGTGTATTCCAGACCAATTCTAATTGGAATACTGACAATGGACCTATCAGCCTGACAAATCGTTCAAGGCTCGATTTTAATAGAACAACCGGGGCTTCAGTTACGCGGTAGACCAACAGAACTTGGGTAAGAATAAAATAACCTCCATCCAGTCCTGAGCTATGGTTCCACCAGCAGTAGTTATAAAAAGTACGGTTTGCGATTAGATTAAACCGTTTTCTTTGCAAGTATTCCCTATTTAATAACAAATAGTTCTTATTTTGTTGTTATGCTTATTATCAATTCTTATATTTCGTGGGATTACTCTGTTTCCCTTAAGCCCCAAGTAGCGAATCTTTTTCGGGGTATATTTTCCTTGTTATACATCTACATATTTCTATTTTTGCTTGAGGTTTGCATTACTATTTACTTATATTATTCTATACATACACTTTCGTGACATTATAGCTTCGTCATTTTCTTCTTTTGTATATGATTTGCAGACCTATGGTATATAGCATTGCAACTTTCATATGAGTTTAAATAGACTGAATAAAACATTAAGGTAATTTTTAGTTTTTGCTGACTTTTTACAATCGTTGTTGTTAGTTTATTTATATCTGTTTCAAATTCTTTACTTATATCCACTAGTGTTATCTATTTAGATATTGAGGTAATCTTACTTCATACTAATATTTGGTCTCACATCTTAAACCAAGAAAATCTTGCATGGACTTTTATTTATTTATCGAACTTTACTGTCCAGTGAATAAATGGAACAATAGGCGGACTTAATGCTATAAGCATTCTCTACCAGTCAACCTTTGGAAAAAAAAACAGAAAAATAACACTGCTTAAAAATAAACTCCAAACTACATATTAACATACTAGCTTTCGCCAGTGACTTCACCCGCGTGGTCCCTGGGGAAATGTTTAGTGGAATAAAATGTATCCTATTATCTAAGTCAGCTAATATACCAAATTTCATCAAAATCCGTTCAGTAGTTTCGGCGTGATTGACGGACAAACATTCAAATTAAGAAACTTTCATATTTATAAAATTAATAGGATACACATACATAAATATACGTAATCATAATAACATTACACTATGAAGATCCTTATAATCGCTGCATAAGAAAATTGTGACCTTTGGTTTTGATTAATGGAATCGGAGGCCATTCCACAATCGTATAGCTTGAATGGCAAAGGAGTCGGACATAAAGCCAGAATGGAAAAGTGGAGAAGTTAGTGAAAGTGAATAAGAAGAACATAGATGTTTTTCACGAGTATCAAAAATATATTGAAATTCACACACTTTACGTAATTTGGAGGATCAAGGTTTTGAAAAAAATGGAATAGAGCGTACAGAGCAGACGTAGCAAGACTTTTCAAGAGGTAATACTTTTTACACGTAAACGAACGATTCTGGATCATCTGGATTAACGTTATAGGCAATGTTGCAAAAAGGGTACTCTTGTGCAAACCAAGCTTAACCATGCGCGATATTAGTTGGAACTTACAGTAGAATATGACTTCGTGGTTGAGAGGCCTAAACTTAAAACAATTGTCCCTGTTTCTGGGGCCAAATAAACGTTTCTATATTGTTTCGGGTATACGATAAGTGAAATTTAGTTGTGGAGCTTTCGTTGTTTCATCCTACTTATATTACGAATATTTAAAGTTTGTGTTTTTTACTCTTTCACGCAAAAACGACTTTTAATGAAATTTGGTATGCAGAAATTTGAAATGGTCTTATGTAGTGGCGAATCACCCTTAAGTTACCCCTCATATAATAATATAACTCATTGGTGGGTCGGGACCCATAGTTTGGGAAATACTGAGCTACCACTATCAAAACATATTATAGAATTCTATCTATCTCACAAATGAGGAGGAATCTGTATCAATCTGTCAATTTCAGCCTCTGTCGCACTGACTTTTTGATCTCTTTTTGTTTTCTTGTCACAACCTCATAAGCAATCTTAATACTGACTTGGTTACAAGGTTTTTATTTAACAATTTTTCGTTTATTAACATGATTCGGACAAAGAATATAATTTTAATGATTAGTGGGAATCAACAAATATTGAGATATCATTGAATTTGAAATATAAAAAAAAGAAAGAAAAAGACAAAACACAGCTTCAGCAAAGGAGAATGAAACCAGACATCACTTCCAACACATTTATTTTACACAAAAAAAAATATATACATAAGTTTATTATCACAGACGTCAAAACTTAAATTAATAATAATAATTAAAACATAAATTATACATATAATGTGGTTGATCTGAAAGAAAAAATTAGTAATAGTAACTATTCATTTTTTTTATTTGAACGTAAAATTTCTTCAATCAATTTCGAACTGTATTAACAACTTATTATGAGGGCCCTTTAACTAATAAGGCAGTAATCGAAAATGAAAAAAACAACATCATATAATTATGAAAGAGTATTGATTGGATCAAAACATGAATTAATAAAATTTTAGATATAAAGAAAGAATGTTTAAATAGAAGAAAAGAAATGAAAATAGTAATATAAATAAGGATCACTACATTAATGAGACGCGTTAATACATCTATATTTTAGCTTTTAAGCCATAAGACTCAAAATTGATTGGGGAAATTTAATCGTACATAATACCTTGAAGTACCGTCTACTATACTAATAGTAACATAGTTAACATTGTACTAAATAAAAAGTAAAAATATGATTAGTAAAAACAAATATAAAAGAAAATCAATATTTTACAGAATTACTTCTTAAATGTTATCTATAATATTGTCTATGGTAATCTTAATATGAAATGCTTCGCTGAAATGCTGAATTGGATTCTCTTTATTGTGTACGAAGAAAGTTAAGTAATCGTTTATCTAACTGATATTTATTTTTTGACTTATGAAACAGCTAAAAGAGGATTAAACTTACATTAGTAGGTTAAAAATTAACGATATCTAATAAGAGATATATTAATGAGAAATCGTAAAATGGATACCTTAATAATATTAAGTGCGCCCTTCAATTATTTCTACACAGCAGCCCGTCAGATAAAAATAAAATTACAATATATTAAGGTTTAAAAGTGGGGAACTTTCACTTTAAGCAATTTTGATGTATAATCAGTTATTGTTGATTAGTATAAAATTAAACTGGTGTTGTTATACAATCCATATTTGTAAATAAATCAAAAATTTTAAATCTATTGCTTATTTAACCACCACATGAAGTCGACATTTTTAAAACTTAATAATTAAATAACGAAATCTAATAACGATGTACGGACTCAAATAACTTAAAAAACAAAAACATAATATCTATACCATAATAAAAAAGTTAATAAAATATGGGACAAATTATTATCAGTACATATATGTGATTGTCATTCAAACGTAATTTGCACAATCAATTTATGTGAATAAAATTCATGATAAAGATTACTGAGTATGAAGCAGTTCTGATTATTCAAAGTGACAAATTTCCTCAATTCATTTTAAACCTTAAAAGTATTAAAATTCAAAGAGCATTTAATAAAAAAAAGGCAATTCCGGCCTCCGATGTGCTGCTGTGTTTACCAATAAATTGACACGAAACACTTATCGTCTCATTATAAACCAGGGACTCATTAGAACTTTAGTACCAGATTTAAACTATAATCCGACCAAGATAAGTCGACACGTCTCAATTTGACGTGTTTTCTACTGTCATTTTCAATTTGTTTTAGGCGAGTAATGGCTTAAATCAAGTACTTTTAGTCCTCGTTTTATTACAAGACGGTTAATGTCTAGTAAAATTAGGAAAAGTAGTTAAGTAGAAAGTAAGTATATGGTCAGATAAAGACATAAGTCCAAATTCCTTATGATAATCAACTATAAGCAACACTAAAGAACCACAGAAAATAATTAGAAGAGCCTCGTTGGTTATGAGCAATGTCCCTGTTTGAATCGCACACTCGTAAATACGAAATGCTGAATAGGGATGACGACTAAGTAAAAGCAAAGAAAGCACTAAAAAGCACCTCACTAGATGCCGACTCTAGCAATAGTTGATACTTTTGCAGGAAAGGAATGGACCAAAGATAATCATTTCCGTTCCTTTTGACTAACATATTAAAAAACTGAAACCTGCTCAAGTTCGACACTTAGATATCAATACAAATACGAAAAAGTAGTAAATAGAAAACTCAATAAAGTTCCGAAAATTAATTTACTTTCATACATGAAAGAAAACCGGAAGGGTTGTCATGGAAAAATCAAGAAAGTACCGTAGCGACATCTAGTTTGATTTCGGGAACTAATGTTATTTTTTAATACTTCTTCCTTACGATGACACCTTAGAGTGCAACAGTGAAATTGACCAGTACACAACGACGGCATCGGATTTATAAAGGGCAGGTGAACGCCATTCTAACTTCTTTCTGTGTTCCATACGAAACACTAGGCACGAGAGGCAACATTACAGTCTCATTAAAATCTATCATATAATATTTATAATACGTATTTAAAAAACGTCAATCAGGTCTCCAGTTATGATATATATGGTGTCATTAAGTAAGTTGTTGAGCACACCTACATCACTAAAATATTAATTAAATATTCGATCAGCAATTTAGGGTCGGCCTATAGCTGACGCAAAATACGCCGCGTCTCTTCGGTCGCGATACGTAAGAACATACATATATGCGTGCCCTTAAACTGGCTTTACGTATGAGAACAGAGTAAGGTAATCGAGATGTTTTTAAACATTTTATAAATACGATAGGGTACGTAAACGCTCGAGTTTTTTTTAATCAATATTATTATAGCATTTACACAAGGTTTGATTCTTAAATACACCTATTTTACTTAAAGAGTACAAGAGTAATTCCTTTTAAATTGTAGTGTTTTTATTGAAAGCTTGTACTGCTATTACTATTATGCATACTTGTACTACTAAGAAAAATCTATTCTTATATTATAAAGATGAATGATTTTTTATTGTAATAAATTTTTAAACATAGTTGTTTGCATTGAATGAGCTTCTAAACTACTAGACCGATTTTAACAATTCTTTTACTATTAGAATCCTATACTATACCCGATTACAAAACGTTAGGGATCTGAGTCAAAGCGGGCCGGGCCGCTAATTACATATATAAAAAAATGAAATTTTATGTGATTAAATATATGTATTTTCTTTTGCACGATATGTTTTATTGACAAACTCAAATAATATAAACGAGACGTTCCAACCTAATAAAAAACCATTTCAAGTCAGACTAGTGACCGCGAACTCTACGTTAATACGTCTATAAGTAGGTATGTAAAACACAATATTACGCTTTTGAACAAGTTAAAGAGCTATTTCAATAATAAATCGAGTCCATATTCGAATTTACGCATTCGACTTTCGGATGAATGACGCAGTGTACAATTTCATATTATTGTGAAATTTAGCAATGTAAATATTGCAAATTGAGAGATTGTGTTATTAGCTCATTGTCAAGCCAGTGTGTGGGAAAATTGGTCGAACAAATACCACTACTTATTAGAATGTGTACTGTTACATACGATTCTTGGTAAACAAACATTTTCGAACAATTCAAGATAAATAAAGACCTAAATAAAATGTAGGTCGAGACAAAAAAAATGTATTTCTAGTAATTATAAATGTATTTAGCCTAGTATACATATCATCATTGATTGCACGCACTAAATCAATAGTAATACTTATTGTCTGGCAAATTACGTTTATTTTTATTAAAAACGGGCGCCACAAATGAAGAGCACTAATTAATAAAAGACACTGCACAAGAGATTTGGTTTCCCCGTGACCAATGTACTATAGGTATATTCAATATTCATCAAAAAAAGACGTTGCTATATCATGTTATTCTATCGTATCATACTAAGTTAAATAGTATATTTTATTCTTTATTGGCAGTACCAGGGTAAGGTTATACCGGTTGTAATAAACAAAGTCTGAATAATCTCGCGATCTCAAACGTAATATCCGATTGGACGATTACATTTATACAGAATCGCTGCAATTATGTAAATACATTATTACAAGGGTAAATACAAAATACATTAGCGAGCAGCATATCGGATAGTTGCATATCAACAGCTTAACTTGGTAACGCTACCGAACCGGTTATAGTACATTAACTTTGGCCCACATAGAGTACGCGCCATTGTCAAGGTTTTACTTTAAGATAGAATGGAATAAACGTTACATATTAAAAACAGAGTATAAAGGTTGGTGTACATCTGACGGATGAAGCTCCGCGTCTCGTTGGTTGCGGAACGTCACTTACGAATATGAAGTTATTTATGCGCAGTGGTGTAAAATAACCCACATTTGTTGATGGATACAGTTCTGGTGTAAATTACATACATTCATTTTATTAATGATCTTATAATGCAACAGTGGCGTACTTACCACCTTTTAGTATAAAAAAAATGCACTGTGAAGTCATGTTTTAAATGGCGCCGATTAAAGAAAAATAATAGAACAACAAGTTGTCTGAGGTTTTACCACTTGTGCTGACAATTATTTAATCTTGCACTATGTATACTTCTGTGAGACACATTTGACAGATCTTCCGTCAGAATTACACTGACCCTTAGAAATTTTACACAACTACCGCTACCGTAAATTACTGGGTTTTATTAATTAATCATAACAACCCAGCAGTCTTATAGTGACGCAGGCACATTATTGATATTCAAAAATTCAATAAAGTTAAACTTTATTGTTTTTTCTAAAAAAAATGTATCAAAATTTGTCTTTATCTCAACCAAGTCAGTCTTCATGTTTAGTAAACACAAATATATTAAAATTAACATGTTTAATAATATTTATGAAGAACGTTCTAGACCGATTAGAAACTTTTATTGATTTTAGAATTCAAATGCAGATTCTTAAGTGCTCAGTGTGATATCACCTAAAAATGACGACATGTATGGGTGCGGCATGCAGTCATAAAATGCTATTTCAATAATACATCTTTACACATACTGTCTTAATATTCACTTTAGAAAAAGTTAAAACACGTTTTTTGCTAACCAAGCGAACACTCATTGATGAAAATACGCCGACTAGCAGCTAAAGTAACTCCAGAAATTAGCAGTCTTATTAGATCTCTATTAGTTCAAATTAGCAAGAACTCCTTAGTTCAAATCCAGACTCGTACCTGAGACAATTATTGTTACGATGGCCATTGTATTTTAATCTATGAGATTAGAAGTAATTTATGCAAAAATGACACATATGTTGATGAGGCTAGCTTAACTCCGGTGCCAGACATATGCGTACTGATTTGATCATATAAGTGGCAGGGGTATTTGATACTTTGTCACACACATATTTGTGTCACTATATTTTATTTAAATATAGAAGTATTGCCTTCTGTGCGTATGCGTCTGGTACGGGCTTTACTCAACACAATGCGTCTGTAAGTAAAATCAATCGCCCGCATCCACGATAAAAACGGAGCAGATAAACTCAATGCCACATCAATAGCTTATGATACTCTAGTCTAGGACAATAGTACGGCTTTAACAATTAGCCTTAATGTGTCCACATTATTATATCGGAAAAGCGGCCAAGGAAATTTATCGATTGCATTGATGGTGTAAAAAATAACTGATGCTTGATACTGTTATATGTACTTTTGTGTTAAGTATAAATTAAAAATAAACTTGTTTAAGTAGCATTAAAATGTTTGTTACAAGTTATTCGTAGCTGTATCAATAAAATAAATTCTTAACATTAAAGTCTCTACACAACATGATATTCTTAAGATACCAATACACTACTCGCGAAGTTAACCATAGTTAATCGAACACGATATTGTAGTAATGGTGCATCACTTCACTTTGTGCAACTTCGCGTCGCTTTGTTAACTTCCGACTATAAATCGGTTTTTGGCCTGAGTCAAAGGACTCAAAGTATTCCTTGCGAAGTTTTACGAGTATTGTCATGCACTTCGAACTTCGTAAACTTCCTGAGGGCTCCAACGGCGCATCGAAACGAGTAGTGCATTAGAAGTTTTAACATTTCCTGGTGACAGAGTACTTTTAAATTACAAGTAACTGTAACTAACATTGTATTATGTAAATATATCAACCAGAGATTGTTAAACCCAATATAAATATAAAAAAGGGTTTAAGCTAAGTTTATAAACTATTTCAATTTTCCTCTGAACTCGTAAGCTCGAACAGCAACAGACTCTCAATTTGAACCATATCCACGAGACATCAGTACGCGATTAACGAATACTTCTCCATCTTTCCTGTAGTTATCTTCATCTCAGGATCTGTGCCACCTAAATATCTGAAATATTCAAATGCAGAGGAAGAAAAATATACATTCTAAAGTATAGTGTCCACACCTTGATCCACCACAGTCGGAAAATTCGTCCTGTGCGTGCGAAGTGTCAGTTTCTATGTCAGATAAATGTGGATAAAGGCTGGGCTGTTGCGTTATAACACCGTTTGCTTCGACGTCCTTCTTATTGTTATTAACTTTAATCCTTTTCACATCTTCTAATACGGATAGTACGATCGGTGAATCGTGGGATTGTGAACCTGAAAGTAATATATTAAAAATTTTAGTCTACTTGAAACAAAGTTAAAAAATATTTTTTGAAAAGTTCTACAGGGAATAAAACATTTATATTTGAATTATTGCACCATATTAAACTCGAAGAATGTACGATTCACAGAATTTGGTGTGTCATAAGGAAATCGCAAGGAGAAATCTCGGGCTTTACCTTAAATTTAAAACGTATGCGAATGACTTATTTTACATATATTCACTAGCGGTGATTCAGAGGACAGAAGACGTAGACACTAGAATTATTTCAACATTTTATTGCGCTTACGAAATGTTATAACCATTTCTCAAGCAAATAAGAAAGGAAAATGTGCTTTGAGATTATAATATTACTATTACAATCGATACACAATTCTTTGGTACCTCTGTCAATTGTTGTTTATGGTCGAATAACACGAGGTTGATTCTAAGGTTTACATCAGAAAAGGTATATTCAATTAAATCATATTTCTAATCGTTCACACTTACGGAACTTTATAAATATATCTTCCGCAAAAATGTTAAATTACTTCCAAAATTAAATTGTATTTAATTTTTACTGGTAAATTATCTAACACATGGGAGATTGATAAATGTTTGAGTCACTATGAAGTCAACCTGAACTATTTTTCATTAGCAATTCAAATCAAAGACTTCATGATTTCGTCTCGTCTGAGCGCGACTATTTTTAGTTATACTCGCAAATGCTATTCCCATATGGGATTTGACAGATATTAGAGTCAAATGGCAAAAAACATAACTTACTTCTCCGTTTTACAGGTTGTGACACAACCTTTTCCTTTTCGACCTCTTTCACAATCGGTTCTACATCCCGTTTCTCATCAAAAGTAACCTTGGGTACATTGGATATTATTTCCGGCTTCTTGTTATTCTGGGCTAGATTTAAAGCGCTGCCCATAAGAGGCGCTTTCTCCGATGGGTCATGATCGCTTTGTTCATCATCAGAGTCGTTGTTATGTTCCGGTTTTTCGTTATTGGGCTGAAATATTATTACAAAAACACATTACAATTTCTATAATAATAAGGTAAACGATATAAACTTTTTAAAAACTTAAGTAGGAGGAAAGAAAAGTCTACCAGGTGGAAATACCAAGGTAAACAAGGTATTAACTATTGCTTTAATAACAAGTTTATCAGTCATATTACCTTTATTAAGGAAAACGATTTAAGCCACTCGTAATTCGTACTATACGCCTACAAGATACATATAAGGTATTAGTCTCAACTACCGAGCTTTTTGTGCATTAACTGCCAACTAGTAATTAATAGTAAAACAAAACCACACAACTGTAGCTACTGTTTCATTAGTAATTCTTAACGTATTTTGGTGTCTTAACGCCATATTATGCCCAAATTTTGCCACTGTATTATCAACCCGAGGCCCTAAATGATTAATCGAACCGTGGCTTGTGTTGTAATTCATCATATCGAAAAGAAATTTTATTAAAACGCAAATAACGCACCAAAATTAATTTAAGGTTAGAAGACCTCAGGCCTTGATCCTGATGATCGCAGCATGATGTATATATAAATGTATATACAATTTTAATAGCCACTTGCACAATCGACCATTACAAATATCATTAGTTTAATGCGAAATTAACCCCTACCAAATTATGAGTTTAAAGTCATCACTAAGCCTTAATGGACGTTAGTGCAATTGACCCATTAAGAATCAAGGTATCAAACGCAAAAATAATTAAAATATCGATCAAATAAAAAAATTCTTGGTTTAATAAAATATTTGAGTGCATATTCTGATGTAAAATAATTTCCGGCCATATTCAGACGTACGCTTACATACCATAGACTACATTAACGATTTAGAAATACTCAGCGAACAATGTGTACAATAAAAGCTACCCAGTGTACACGTTTTGTAAGTAATTATCGCTTTGAAATGGTGTCCTTTCGCACGTATTGCGTTATGCGCCCTAACCACACGTGCAAACACACTAAACTCGTGCACGAACACGCCATTCTCTCAAGTAATAGCTAGGAACTGAAATACTGATGAGACCAGAATAGCATAAAGAGGGTCGGTAAATATAGTTCAACGTTCACTGAGATTTTTTTAATAAGACTCACTTATTACACTAGTGACTTATAATCGAAAAAGTTGATATTATTTTAAATTAAGACCTAAGTCTAGATTCTGTCCCACTACATTATAAGGAAAAACCGATCTATTTCCACTATTCTAAGAAAAACTGACAAATCACAAACTATTATAGTTTGTAGCAATGGCAAGTAAAGCATGCGACTATTTCGAATCTAACGCGTTAAAATTCGATCAGACATCAGATTTTAAGTATAGTTAGCTTATATGAGTGTAATAAACCCCTCAAATATCAATTAATCATTATTGGGCACATGAAATTTATACTTTCTAATAGCATTATATTTATTATTATTATCTTCCAATACTCATAAAGAAAACTGCAAACTAAATTGCTCCAGACCTAGATTAATGTCTTATACAAATATTATTAAGCTAATTAATTACCTTATAGTGAAATCTGTTCTGTAGCATCTCCATTTCTCTTTCTCTCTCTTGCTTGAACTTATTCGCTATTGTTGTCTCGCTTATCGTCTGCTCTTTATTGAACAGTGCCGCCAATTTCCCTCTTATTCCACCACCGATTGAGCTCTGGCTGATGTTGTCATCATTCAGATTGTCTTTGGAATTAGTCGTGGAGTTGCTCGATGAGGAATTGTTAGATTTTGTTGGCGTCGTCTTAGCGCTGGTGTGATTTTTAACAGATTTTACATCTGAAAGTGTCAAAACGTCGTTCAAACGTCGTAAAGGTGTTAAGATCAAGCTATTGTTTTGGTGCGGACTGTGAAGGTTCTGAACTATAGAAATATGTATAGGTATATAAAAAACAGCGTTTGGGTCACGCCAAGTAAAATAACATTGTTGGTGAGTACTTTGTTCGTGCGTCCGCGGTTTTGCTTGTTTTGTCGTCGGAACCTGTTCTGACGGCAGATAAACACTTTAAACCACTTTGACACATAAAAAGGATTCTTATAAGGCTCTTTATATAATGTATGCATGGGGACCGCATCGAATATTCTCTGAATCTTATTGAGAGTAAATGAAAAAAAAGAACTAAACGCTAAAGTACCTACACAAATAACTGCTAAAAACTAGGTAATAATGTGTGATTAGTCCGAATATGCTGTTGATTTTCCAAAAAGCAATACGACATTTATTGTAAAATATCAAATTTCTGCAAAAATATCAATAGTTTTGATAAGCTACAGACAGTTTCACGACATTGTTATATGTGTATTATATTTCAAAATCGCTACATCTGGTACGTAGGTGTTAGAAATGGGCAACGCTGCAATCATATAGATAATTCTATTACACAATCGTCTTCCAAATGGTGTCACTTAGCCCTAATTATCAGGTTAACAGGTCACCCAGTGGCAGATGTTAATAAACCTAGATACCAATACAAATAGTGTGTATCAGCAGCACCTATATGTATTGGATTTCTCTGGTTAAGTGTTTTAATTTGTTTTTATCTTTGAAAACTGTGATAAAGTGATTATATTATTATCGTCTACACATAAAAAAGATGACTGATTGATCCAATGTCGCTGAGTATAAAAAACTATTGAAGATGGACACATGATATTTAGTCAATTATATGATTTATTTGAAATTTCAACCCCTAAGGGCATGAACAAGGAGATGAAAAATTGCATGGTAGTCTGTCAGTATTGTAGTTAAAATTACGAAACTTTATTTTTGACAACTAATAAAAATAAGTGTGAATGAATATCTACATTGGCATAAGAGGATATTCTACCCCTAAAGAAGTGAAATAGAAATATGAAAGTTTATTTTCGGCCTACTTATCAAAAATAAGTATATGTGTTTAAGCTTTAGTGAAAAATCCTCCCCCGGGGAGGTGAAACAGGGATTGAAATTTATATGAAAGAAAATAATGTGATAAACACGAGCGGACCCAAGTCATATCTATAAACGTTCTTCTTTACAACTAACTTAATAATTTTCTGTCTCTCACAAAAAAACGTCATAGTCAAACTTTAGTTTAATCTAATCTTTAGTTGAAAATATGATTTTTTTGACCAATTCAAATTAAAGTTAATTTGAAATTGATATAGTGTTATTGTTATAATTAATTTGATATTAGCACTGAAATTAAAATACACATATACAACATAAAAAGTTTCTTTGTGTGACGTCTGGAGAAAAAAAAATTATATTGTCAAAGAAGGCTTTACGTAGGTGATTAGTTAGTGGTTTTTGGTGTAAACGTCCTCTTAAATAACACAAATTGTTGAATTTGAAGTAATTTTGTAAATTTAGTTTATTAAAAAATTAACAAGATCACGCTTCGTTGATTTTGAGTATTAAAAAAAATGACGGACGAAAGAATAAATTTAGTCATATGATTAAAGAGATTACAATGCCAAATTGGAAGAATGCAGAAGTCAGGGAAGGTCAACACACGCCTTTCACGATCACATTGACTGCGTGGTATCGGAGTATGATCTCAGACAGAAGCAGAGTCGCCGATCTATCATCCTTTACACATTTGCCTATACGGTTTATATTAAAAATTTTCTTACATGCCAAATGATGAAAAATATAATTATCTTGTGTGTCCATAATATTATTTCCAATTGTCTTATATCATTTACAAACAATACAACTTAGATATCAAAATCTCTTAAAAGCAATATTATTATTTATGTACCGTAAGTGTTACACAATATTAACAAACACACGTATTATATATAATTATTAGCTAATCATCATCACCCTTCGCCCTTAAAAATCCTAGCCAATTCACTCGCGTATAATGCAGCTTCCGTAGATTAAATCATTTTAAAAACAATCCAGCACTTTCGGAGCTTATTCAATACAATCAAACAAATCTATTTATAATATAAGTATAGATAATCTATTTATAAACATGTTAAAACAAACAATAACATTATTATGACAAGAAATACACCAGTGGTATATTAACGTTATGATGAGAATGCAAATGGCTTTATAATTGTTTTTTTTTTTTGTTGATGTGATAAGTCTTGTACACTAGTGTTGCGGTCATAAAAGGCCATTCTTAAATCACGAATGTCTTGGTAATTACGTAAATATTATAATTTTAACATCAAGTATTAAAAAGGTGAATTAAACAAACACATTAGGTATTTGCGGAGATGTTTTTCAAGCTAAAATACCCAAGTCTATTAACCATGATTCTATTTGTAAATTTTTAACATGGAATACGTAATACAGCAGCAGTACATGATGCTACTTTAATTAACGTATTTTAAACAATCAGTTTTTTTTTTACTTAATTATGACCCCAAAAATGCTTAATAAAATTTTTATACTTAATGCACAAGCTGTTGACTTTTTATATGAAATTAGTTTTCGAAGAGGGAAGGAACTGAGAGACTTTGTAAAATCTATACATATTAATAAAATAAAATTATAATTTAAAAAAAATCTTGGTTTTATCTTTTGTTCAATATTTTATTGTGCAAACAGGTGGTGCAAACAAATTAACTACCTTTCTAGGAATTAAGAAAAATATATAACGCTATTACCGCTTTACAATATTTCTATATTTTTTTATAAATACAAAAATCATTAAACTTACACAAAAAAAGAACAAGAAAAGCCGCTTTATTACAACACTTTTGTCCCAAAAAATTCTCTTCCCAGAAAATCTCAAAGTGTCGATTACAACATAAATTTCACTATGATCACCGGCCACAATAACACAATCACCAGGAACAATCGATCTCTAAACTCGCTAGTCGAACGTGCGTTAAACGCGGCCTGCGCGGGCGCCGGTGCAAATGGCAATACGCGCAAATGGTCAGAGAGTCTACCAACACCTAATAACCTCTCGATCGATTCGGAATCCCACGCTTGCGCAGTCATCGGCAACCTTTTTTGTTACGCACCAATAGTTCATAACACAATGGCACTTTTTAGACTTATTTTGTTTCTGCTGTCATTAAAAAACCTAGCATGCGTATTTATACACGTTTTACGAATTCTTTACAATGTTACTTGCAACTATTTTTATCTCTGTACCTAGTGGTTTTACAGATTAAACGAAAAGCAATTAAAAAAATATATATGAATATTACCTTTCAGCTTCTGACATTGTTTTTAGTTATGTTTAGACAGTGTACAGTTAGGAACACAATTTTAATCGTACTTAATCATTCGATTCCTAAACACTATAAAATTTTCTCAAGTAAAAATTAATGACGTTATAGAAATCCTAAGTGCCATAGTTTCATAAAACTAAGATCAATAAGTCTCACTGTTAGTGCACTAATGAGCCAAATTTTACAATTACCAATTTGCTTTATTGTATAAAATTACCGAAAAGTCGATAAATTACTAACCTTCAATGTGTTCAAATCTAGCTGTAATAAATAACGTTCTTTATGTTTAGAAATCATATTTTCTGACTGTACATGGAATATTTGTCGATAGAAAAACCAAATTTAAATATTTATAACCAATTTTTTTTGTGTAGTCACGACCCCAGTTTCAAACGATCACCTTATCGATAGGTATCGTAAACGAAAAAATTACGTACATTGTGATTGTAAAGGGCATATGAAAAAACTTGTTCGTGTGCAATTGTAGTATACATATTGCGCGTACTACAAGGTTGGCTACTTCTGACCAGATAGCCTTGATTAAGCTTATTTACCTAGTGATGTCATTTTATTCAATTTCGGTGGCATAACGAGCGAGATTCGATTTCGTGTAATTTCGATAAAACAGAAACAAAATGTTACATAATGCAAATTAAACTGGTGTACAGACAGTATTCATTTAACGTAACTTTATAAATACTGGTCAAAAGCTAGACGAACTATCTAAAGCCATATTTAAAAAAAAAAAAAACAATAATAGTAGATTTCAGATCGTACGACGGAATTCGATCTATGCACCAAGTATGTGGTATTGTAGTATTGCATGTACACAGCCACCCATAAGGTTATTACAATATATCAGAATTTTAATCAATAAATGACTCAATCTTAAAGTCGATTGTAGCGATTTGACAGTATCGAATGACTTGCTCTTGACACGGTTGATTTTAAATTCTAACTTCAAAGCATTAACATTCAAAACCCGGTGGACAATTTGCATAACCTTCCGCACTGTTGACTAGCAAAATAGTTCAGAAATTTCATGTAAACTTTTTACGAGTGAAAATGTTTAAACATTTTTAATTTTAATAAATAATCATATTTGTAGTGTTTTATCCAAATTGTGGCACCACCAAAAACCGAACACTAAGAAAAATTATTATACAAATTGCAAGTCAATGAAACATTAGGCGTTGACCTATCAGCTGACCGATCAGCTGGAATGTCAATGAACCCACGCTCCGTTGTTAATTGAACCGAATTTGGTGTAATTAAAATAAAACAATGGGTTCTTTATGGACGAAAAAAGTTACATATGTCTATTTAGTGTTGGTCTGACAAAACTGGTTGACGGCGATGTTTCTCCAAGCTTTTTTCTAATGTTATTATTTCTCGATTGACCAAAGCGACCATAGCCTACAGCAAATCTGTCAGAAGATACGTCAAGCATCTCACGAAAGTATACGTTAGGAGGTACGCGACGATTCATCCGCCGAATGTGCAAGGTTATCATATGACTAGTGGCCGCCAGCGACTTCGTCCGCGTTTTCCATTATTTCTTCGCTCCTAATAGTTGCAGCGTGATGTTATATAGCCTAAAGCCTTCCCCGATAAATGGTCTATTCAACACAAAAATAATGTTTCAATTCGAACCAGAAGTTCCTAAGCTTAGCGCGTTCAAACCAACAAACAAACTCTTCAGCTTTATAATATATTAGTATAGATATATTTGTCGTATCTTTTGTCAGTTACATGCTTTAACCCTAAAGTGAATCATTCATATTAAAAGGACTATATTATATGGACATGTAAAATTATTATCAAGTATTAAAACAAATTTATAAAAAAAAAAATGTAGTTCATTTGTTCATATAAAACTTCTATTAATGTCGGACATAGAACATAGAACCTCCTCCTTTTCAATTCTGAAATCGGTTAAAAGCTATGATTTTATATCGAAAAGTAAAAAAGAAGAATCTTCACTACATATTTCTAAATCAAAGGTGCAAATCTAATATACGGTTGGCTGGAACGGAAAACTTAGACCGTTCCTTTTGTTTATCAATTTTTTCTTTTATTATTTTCTATTATAATTAAGAACAAAACAAACGAAAATGTTGATTGCATTTTATAAACGTCTTTGTCGTTAGCATTATAAAGAAAAATGTATACATATGTATCGTAATATGCAATTTGATGACAACCTACCATTTGACAGGTGAAACTCGAGTAATGACGTGGCATAGAACACTAAATTGCTAGTTACAAAATGTCTCGCATTCAAATCGTAATTACTTATGACATTAAACTAAGTTTTTTAATGCACCTTTTATTCAACTAAAGCAATAGGGAAGAATGACATATTTTTTATCGTGTCACATGTGCTCAAGTTTAATTACGTCGAGATGGTATGGAAAAAGAACAATGCTATCTTAGTTTTCTCAGTAATTCTTTGAAGGAATTCGTACTCTGAAGAAGACGTTAAAGAGAAATGTAGAATAAACTTCTGCGCTTCTAGGCAGAATTGGGTTGGCTGGAGTTAAACAGACAATTTATCATTTATAATGAACCGGTAAAGGCATCCAAGTGCAGTAAATTGGAGTCACCGTATTAATCTAAAACCTAGGGAGGAATGTGTACTCGTTCTTTAACCACAAATGATACTATTATTTCTTTAGGACAAAAGCTTTTCATTAGACTTCCTTCATCTGTGTCATTACTCTGTAATTAATACGAAGTCGAATCATACCTTTGTGCAGCAAAACAGCTTGTATGTTTTGTTACACCTTGCTCGTGGGCATTCATTTATAAGCATTTACATTGCAAATCTTTAAAGATGTGTACTACTTAAACCGTTAGTCCATTAGAACTTCTTCAATAGATGTTTTATTAAAAAATAACAAAATAAAATACGATATTACACACCGTAGCATACACTTGTTACACATTGGCTCTGTAATCCATTTTGAACTTTACTTTTAAGGACTACAATAAATTAGAGACATTCATAACCGTTTTCACTAAACTTATGAGTTGTCCATATCTGTCGCCTAAATATTTGGGAATCGCCTAAGGGAAAGATTAATTTCACCAATGACTAGGAACTATCCAACGAAATTAAGTAATATCTAAAGCTATTATATTCGTTGGCGGCGCCTTGCACTAGACATTTGCGTATATGGCTGGTCAAAAATACGTCAAGGGATAAAAGAAAAATATTTATTTGAAATTAAACTAATCTATATAGGCATTTCCTAGTTAAGCTGGCATAGTTTTGTTTAGTTAATGAAAATGGGTGTCAGTTTTGGATCACCTGAAGCACTCTATCCTATAAAAGGTATTTGTGGTGTACTTTGTGGTGTACAATAAGATGTTCATTAATTCTTTAGAATTCTGACGCTTCCGCTCGTACCGCAGTATCGTTATATGTTTTTATATAGTTACATCAGCATCAGCCTTTTTACGTCCCCACTGCAGGGGCTCAGGCCTTCCTTATGGATAGTTAAGCAGACGGGCCATGACCCTCCACGCTAGCATAATGCGGATTGGAGGGTATCAACGACTGCAAATGCAGCCGGGACCAACGGCTTAACGTGCCTTCCGAAGCACGGAGTAATCATCTTTTGGTCACCCATCCCGTGACCGACCCCTACGAAAGTTGCTTAACGACAACGATCGTGGGCCGCGGCGCTTATCCACTACGCCACCGAGCTACTCATGTATTTTTCATACATGTAAATAATTTTCAGATTTTCGCCACCTTCGTCGCGTTCCAAACGGATTGATTTGATTTTGTCTACCTCACAAAAGTGAATAAGATATCTTAAAAGAGATCTATTATAATCAACTTTATGGAACAGATGCTCAAATATTTTGGTGATATGTAACAACATCTTCAACTTTCTTATTCCATTTGAAACACACTATGTTCGACTAAGCTCTGTCTACTATTTGTGCACCTTATAAAATGAAAAATTTGTGTTCCAATAAAAAGATCACAACATTTTTCAACGTTATGCTAACCTAAATTTCATAATGAAATAAAGTTCCGAGTCTAATATTCAGAAAAAAATGTTTATCTACTCAAAAATTGCGAGTATATACATAACTTTTTACACAACTGACACTTTCTCTCCCATTGGATCGCCTTCAGTCGTTTTATCACAACACCAAAGATTCGTTCCGTTAACAGACCCAGTTCGCATTGATGTTTTAGAAAGCGCATTATGCAAGCGAGCCTCCGCAGCGGTAACAATTATGAAGTGCAATCAGTTTCTTTTGAAGTTGACAACGGTCAATCATTTTCACAACCACTGACGAACTGTTAAAACTTGTTTGTCTTGCAAATTAGATAATTTCTTTTTTACTTGGATTCTTAATGGTAATTACTTCAAACTTTATGGACTTGCATATTTTGAGAAATTGTAAGTATGCGAAAGGAATTTCCGAAAAACAAGCATCTAATGTTAGAAGAACCTTTTTACAATTACGTATTATTCCGAGGGGACATAGATTGACTTACTATAATGATGAAAATTATTACTTGCGGTTTTATTTTTTGACTAATTTGACCACAGTCTTCTCTTTCGTAATTGTCTTCTGTTTTGCTTATTTATTTTAATTGTAAGAAACATGTAAAAACAAATATATATACTAGTTTTTATCATATAAATTAGATTACGCTACATAATAAAATATCACAGTAAGGATTAATTTTTAATGGTGGTCTACTAAGACTTGGTATCGATATTTACAAATTGCTAC